TAATAATAATAATAATAATAATAATAATAATAATAATAATAATAATAATAATAATAATAATAATAATAATAATAATAATAATAATAATAATAATAATAATGCAGTTAATCTTCGTTTCTCCTGGAAAACACATATACATATGTATGTTATGTATCCGTATATATATGTACATATGTACTTACGTGCGTAGGTAGGCCTCTGGCCTACCTGTGGAGCGAGAACAGTAAGCGATTGCCAAACTTCGAAAAAGGAGTGGGAATGGCAGTGTATTTTCGAAAAATAAGATATTTGACAAAGGTATTAAGTCGTCGAGGAGTTGTAATTTGTAGAGAGTTTAATTCCTATAGGAAGTGTTACATTTTTATTATAGCTACAATATATACTTATACAATTATTATTGTGATCATGACATATGTACGTGTAGAACTGTATAACAGGTCACATATTTAGCATACTTTTTAGGGTACAGCGTATAACACTTTTGGACTTGTTCGACTGCCGCATTGCATCTTGTTATTTATTTTGTTATTTTTCTATATTCTGTATTTTTATTGCTATTACTGTTCAGTTTTTACATTTATTTTGTTATTTTTCTGTATTTTTTTATTGCTATTATTGTTCAGTTTTTGCATATAGAACGCTTTCTGAGTGGCAGCTCAGCGTAACTCTCGGCACTTGAAGTATATTTAATGGTCAAGCCTTTGAAGGATATTTTTTGCCCACATCTGCAACAGCGGTGAAGCACTTGGCACACACAGTCGGGCACCCACACAGTCCCACACAGTCCCACACAGCCAGGGAGACAGGGAATGTTCAGTGGAGTCAGCATCAGGCATGTAATTCCCAGTGGACGCATGGGCATGGCTCAGGACACGGTCATGGAACGCTTTTACATGCAACTAATTATGCTTTTTACTATGCGGTGGTCTGCTCTCTGGCCACTTGGCAACAATATAAGCCGCTTAACCCACTAAAGCCACAAAATTGAAGCACACGCAAATCTCATTAAAGTTTCGAGCATGTTTCAAAATTAATTTCTGTAATACTCTGCACTTGGACGGGTGTTCGGCTACAGTTTCCATACGTGTGCGTGTATGGATTGTATGTACGAGTATATTATATGTATCTGTATGTATGTATGTACAAAGTAGCGGTGGTTCTTATTGTTGCTGTTGTTGTTCTTGCTGCTGCTGCTGCTGTTTCAGTTTTATTTTTTATCAATTCGGCATTCCGGAGCGTGCCTGACGGCGGAATGGGAAGGTCGTTGGGCAGGTCAGCAACGGGCGCATTGGCTGCCGACGTTGCGGAGCCAAGGGCCATAAAGTTGGGTCAGGAGGACTTAAATTGCATTATGCGATACATTTGTGCATATTGGCAAGTGCATATATGTACATACATACATACATACATACATACAGGGTGCGCCATCTTTTATGTCGGTATGTAAACATTGAATATCTTTGAAAATAAACAACCGATTTTCAAGTATGAGATATTTTTATTTATTTATTTATTTCTGTACAATTTCTTGACTTCAGGTTTTCAACACTGGTCTACTCAAGTCAATCGGTTCACGAATGACAAAGTTATTCAATATCTACATACCGACATAAAAGATGGCACACCCTGTATGTACATACTTGCATATAAAAATGCTTATTTTTTTTTTGTATATACATGTGTGTGTGTGTGTGAGTGCGTTTGTGTGGAGCGCTCGTTAATGTGCGTGCGCTTTTTTCGCTGACTTTCATGAGGATAATTGCGTTGCTTGGAAATTGCATTAAAATGCATAAAATACAATCAAATTATACACACACACACACACAAACACACACATACACACACAAGTGCAGTTGCCATAATGAGCACTTACGCTTCCGTAATGTGGCTAACAGCACTGACAATCTGAATTTCCCTTATATCGATTAATATAGACACATATGTTAATACATATGTACATATACATACAAGCATACTTATTACATATGCGGACGCTGTAACTGAACAGATGTTACAGATGTACAGGGCGACCCGTATTCAGTGTAGGATCATTCACATCTCCCATCGAGTGGTGTAGACACGAACACCCTTAATCGCGCGGTTATTTTACATTTATTTGGGTTTGGCAAACTACAAGTAAGAACTTAACAGCGGCTCAAATGGTTTGCTATTCACAATAGTGCATGAGTGAGCTTGCAAAAAAGATCAATGCTAGATAATCTAGCCTAGATTTGAGTAGAAGAAATGAAGAAATTTGGCTTATCCAGTATTAGCCAAGAATTAGCTAAGTAAGCTAATTATCAAGACACTTAATTCAATTAGTTAATATGCGTTGATCATCGTCATCGTTTTTTCCACCAGAGGGCTGCCAGATTTATTACAAAAATTGTCGGCAGCGACACCTATGCGAACAACGTTAGGAGCATCGAAAGGAGTGCTGTAGTAGCTGGCAGCATTTCCGAGAAAAGCAGTTTGCTTTGCCGAATCAGTAAAATGGGAATAGGTTTCTAGGTTCCTAAATACCGTGGATGCTTCGATTGCAGCCTCAGCTATGCCCCAAATCGGACCACTGATGTATTAAGAAGCGAAATGCCAATGCTTCGACGAATATTCGCCATCGCTTTTTAATTAATGCAATTTTCCGCCAACCGGTTTTTTTCCAGCAAAAAATAAATATACTGTATTACAGGGGGTCTTAAGACCAAAGGACTAGCATGCACTGCTTTAGTCTTTCTGCTCAATTTCCTAGAGTCGGACCAAGAGTTCCATTTCCATGTGCGGCGGCTTCTGGGCAATGAGAATTTGGAAATGGTCGGATTTGATCTTTTGATTTTGAATGATTCGAACCACGATTCCAGGTGCTGGCTCATAGGTGGCGCAGTGATAATAGCCAAAAGCACAGAGGCAGCGGCCAAGTGAGCTCTCTGGCTTGGTGAGGGATCAATGATCGCCAGGAAAACGCGTACTTTTCGCAGCCTGAGAAAAATTTTAGTCCTTTCGAGATGAACTGTTTCGATTGTGAATAGAAAATGTATTGTCGGCCATTGACAAATTTGATGTTGAGGTCAATAGATAATATATTTGTGTACACAACAAATATTTTACACACAAAACAGTTAACAGCTTAACTGTAAATGTACATTGCAGCCCACCTCATCGTAATCCCTCAATAAAAACAAAGCAAGCCCTGCAGTTCAATTCAGTTCTTTATAGTTTTGTCAAGCATTCTCGACAAACGTATTTTCATTTCTCGTTCGACTCTCGTACTACTTGTAAGCATATCGGAAAAATGTTTTCCATCAAAATTTGTGCACAAAAAAATTTGCAATTAAAAATTGTTTGTGAAAAAAGTAAATTCATGTCCTAATTCCCGTTCAACTGACTTCCATTTCCCTTTCACTGGCCATTCCAGCATCCGATAATGCTGTGATGGTTAAAATAATTTTTTAGAAATCATAAACATATTGGAATCATACGATATATGTATGTACATGGTACATGGTGCTTGTACTCGATGAGGACTCTGTTGCTCGTTTGTCCTTCTTCTTTGGTAAGAAACCATCTCCGCAATCGATTAAAATTCTCCTTCATTGCCACACAAAAGGGCGCAAGGAAGGTCCTTTGCCCTACATAGTGGCTTACAATTATTAGACTCTGGACAATTGCGATGAAAATAATAATACGACGGTCTCCCTGTTCGGTAAGAAAACATTTCGACTACCCAAACGATCAGAGCCTAATTTTCAATCGTCTATCGGCTGTAGTTCGCTTAACTGATATGGATATCCCGCCAGATGCGACGGTACCGACCTCTCTCTCTGGATCCTGAGGATTGCGATCCACTGGCGGTCACATCAGAGACTGTTGCTGATTACACATATTTTTGGTTTTGATTCCTCAAGTGCCGCTATTGCTGGACTGAAATGTTCAAATAAAAGTGGTGTGGTAGTCGGAAATCATTCTTTTATTAACGAATTCAGAGTAGGGAAGGGAACATTCCAGACAATCAGGGAACGATTCTGTGGGGTCCGTCACATCCGACTCTTTTATGCTCAATCGAAATAATCCTGCAGAAGGGAAACCACTTTAATGAAAATATTCCACTATGCAGATTCAATTTATTTGAGCAAGTCAGGCTAGTTAAGAGTTACAATTTTAGGCTCATTAAACAACAACAAAAATGGTTTTCATTCGCCTTTTTGCACATTAAATAAGCAAACATCGAAAAAGTGGAAAACAATGCAAATATTGAAATGAAAATCGAAACTCAAGGCATAAGAATGTTGCTCACAATAAACAGATTTTCCGTTTCCATCCAGCCCTCGAGCTGAACACATCAGCAAACGTTTTATAGAAACCAATTTTTTATTTTTATACAAAAGTGTAAGTATCCTTGTTTGCTTTCCCCTGTATTTCTCCAATCCTTTGCTACTATGTTCTCTACAGAAAAAGTGTCGTGGTGTTATTGAACAAACATGCACTCTCAAGGATACCCTCATGAGCAAGAAACCTAGATGGTTCGAATGAAACATAAGAATTGGCTTAATATCGTCTCCTTCTGCAGCATTCAAGGAACGGACTGAACACTACATATTGACGCACAATTGAAGGGAAAGCAGGTCCTCCATTTACGGTTTCTGCAAGCCAATCAATCACATGGAAGACTGTCGCTTTGATTTAGACTTCATTTTAGACCCCCTTGGAAATCGGCGCTGAGTTGTCCTTGCGATAGAGTATTTCTAAGTTCATTGTGTATTCGATTCTATTCTAAATTGAATGTGTAAATAAATTCGGTGTCTTCATACATAGAATATAGATATAAAGTGACTAAATTATTGACTCAAGCACTCAAAGTATTTCTAATAATCTTCAGGTGCAGATTCTTCACCCATTTACGAGTATTTGAGAAAATCTGTACCTTTTTTTGGAAACCTAGCAAGCATTGAAATTAAATTCGTCGCTTATATTTAGGCCAGTTGCTCTCGAAAAATATATATTCAGTTCTCGTTCAGCTCGAGAGCTGAACACATCAAAATTTTAATTTGAAAGTTTAGTTTGGACCTTTTTCCACAAATTCTGGTTTCTCCAAAAAATCTTTAGTAAGATGGTGCGTTGGGATCCCATTGGGTTGCTTTCTAGTTTTATTTGGTGTTGATGCTCCACAGATATCTCTATAGAGCGGCGGGACCGACCTCCATATGGGCGAGAGGATTGCGCTGGGCTGGTAGTCAAATGTGTACTCTTTTATAAATGATAGTCCAATATGTAAGTGAACCTACTTGTATTCTCTTCATCAGTAACTGATTGATTGATTGATGATCCATCCCTGGCAGATTTTTGTCCAAGGTTTATTCGTAATACATCCCCTTTGATACACTAAGGACGGTAATGGCGGTACCGAAGGCAGATTGCGCCAATTTAGGAAACAAAATGCAAGTTGGGGTCGCTGGCAATCCTTCTAATTGCTACAACTATCCTTTTCTCTCTTCATGGTTTTAGACTGCAATGGATTCCGGACAGGACTGTTGCCATTATTTTGTTGCCAGCTGACACTGCTTCACTTATCAATAAATAAATGCTTGTGTCGCTTTGAACTTAACTTGTCGTTTCATTCCTTCACTGTGCTTTGAATAATTGAAAAATAATAAGTCCATTGCATGAATCAGCTACCATTCTTAGTGCTATAGGTCCATTAAAATTCGTAGTCACTATTTGTTTATGAAGTAGATCAACCACCATATATGCAATGGAAACATAAGTGGATTCACATAAATGTCCGATATTCCAAGATTTTATTACAACCTTGTTGGAGTCGGAGTCCGAGCTGCTATGGGTTGTGAAAATGTTTAGAGTTAAAATAAATGGATAATAAATAATATGTGACATAGACTATGTCCTTTGGGGCGACCTTATGTTGGTATTGACAGCCTGTAGAAGGGGGAAGAAAGGATCTTCTTCGACTGGCTTTGTTGATTGGCTTGCAATTAGACGCAGATTGAAGCCATAGCCATGACTCGATCTGTTCATGGAAACCACAGCTTCCTAATTATATTTAAAAGTAAGCGCAGCGCAGGAGATATAAAGTTTTCTCTGGTCATTTGAAGTAAGTGACTGAATGTGATGTTGTCCGATTTCTCTCCGAATAAAGGTCCTGTGGCTGTGTCACGTATCTGGCATTGGAGACATTGCATTCTCGTTTGCAGGATGCCGCTACTCGGCCACAAGACCACACGGCCAAATGCCTGCCAGTTGCTTCACACATCATCATCCACGACTAGATCTGGCCCAGTTGTTGTTGCTGTTATCCCTGATACTCGACTTGGTTGTCATGGCAGTCAACTAACAGACCGCCAGTTGCCCATTTGCCCATTTGCCGGCTTGGCCATTTGGGAATGCATTCAAAGTGATGTTCTGCTCGCTCTGCTCTGCTCTGCTCTGCTTTCAATTTTGTCGCATTCTTCGTTTACACCTCCGGTTGCCCCTCTCCTCCTCCTCCTCCTCCTCCTCCCTTACTGCCACACATTTCTACTTCCACTTGCTCGTAACCTCTCACCTGCCCTGCCATGGCATGGCTTGGCTTGGCACGGCCTGGCCTGGCCGTTTAACAATGGCGCGGCACGAAAAGAGTTAGGCTAGCTTTGCAGCTCCCCTCCCCCACCCCACACACACAAACACACAAACACACACACACACTCTATATATGTGTCAGGCTGTTTGTCTGTTTGTCTGTTAGCGCTGCTCCGTTGACGGCGCCATTCTATTCAAATGAATCCCCGTTTGGCTTCCACTTGACAATGGGCCAGAGCTCAGTTGTGTGTGACTGTGTTGTGTGTGTGTGTGTTGGTGTGTGTGTGTGGGTGTGTGGGTGTGTGTGTGTGTTAAGTCAGTGAACTTAATTTGGTCACACACAATTGATTCTTTTTACGAGCATACACAGACACAAGCACACACACACACACACGCTCAGTTGTTATTGTTGGCGACGACGTTTTGTTACCTTGTGCGAAATTCGTTTTGTAATTTGTGGCTGCAACAATGCAATTAAGTTGACATTAAGTGAAGTGAAGGCTTGCCCCTGGCCCCTGGCCGCTTGCCCCTTGCCCCTTGCCCTTGTCGCTCTCCGCCCGCTGACTGGCCTCCACCATATGGTGTGTGGCATGCCATCAAAGGAGTCGTTCGCCTGGCCATTGTGTCATAAAACACCTGGAAGTGCTTCCAACTTAAAGTGCAGTTGGCAGACAGCCTTTGCATTTGGCCAAATACATTGCCACTGACTCATGATGGTCCAGATTGTGTCCCACGGACATCCAGAGACAGACAGAGGGGCTATCCGGCGACCGAACTGGCCGAACCGACTCTCCTTTGTTTCTTCCCACGCAGAACAAAACAAATTGAAAATTAGATAAATGTGTTTGTCTTAAGTTACTTAAATGATAGCTCCTTTGCCAGGTAGACGAGCATTATCAATTGGATACATCTGTCACAAACTAAATCAGCAAAACGGTGTTACTTTATTAAAATTCGTCTCTCCAGCGCTTAGAGACTCTGGGATCGAGGGGTTCAACAAGTAGTTATAATAGTTAGTTATAATACTTTATGTCTGGGAACATTTTGAATTCTGCTGCTACGAATGGATAATAATATTAAAAACTTACTGATGAGTCACTGTGAAAGGCACATTTAAACAACATTTAAACACTGTATATAGTATTTACCTAGATTTAAGTGTTTCCTATAGATGTATACCTATAGACGATATTTGTACTTTATTTATTTATACTAGTTTAATGAATTGTATTTGCATTTAAAAAATGAAAGGCACAGATATTTGTGCTGTGCATTTTAGTTCGCAATTCATTTTATGTCCTTGGTGAGGCGCTAAAGGAGGCATACAAGTAAAAGGGCTTGTGTCACAAAAGCTGCTCTGAAGGAATACCTTTGAATGGAATTAATGCTTCCCAGGAATTTCGCAAAAGCCCGGCTCCGCAGAGATATGTCACTCGACTATTTGGCCAGGAATTGCGCTAATAGGAGCAGAATAGTTAGGGAGGGCCCTTTAAGGGGTTGGCAGCCGCTTGAAGGCACTGATAGAACGATATGTGTAGCCTTTACATGGATTCTGCGATTCATGCAGCGTATAGGGATGGAAGTGAATCTTTGTCACCTGCCCACTCACTAGGTCCAATTGGTTGCTCTTAAAAATACTTGTATGTAGAGCCCGCTGTCCATTCGTTGTTTACTGACAGCAGCAGAAACCACAAAATCTCGCTGTTCGCTTGCGTCACGGCCGTCGTGCACTTGACCCGCTTCGAGCGCCCGAAAGTATGCAACAAACAGTTCGCTATGCACATGCATGTAAATGTTGTAGTGGGCAGCTGTAATATTTATAGACGACGACCGCACAATGTGCTCGAGCCTTGCTCAAATGTTCTAATTTGCCAAATGAATGACACACACACACACACACCTCTCACACACACGCAAACACACACACACACAAGCGCGCGCTCACAAAAGAGCGGAAGTGCCTCTCACAGTAATTAAAGTGTTTACGCGCCCGGCATTAATGTGCCAAAAATTTAAATGCAACGCGAGGCAACTGGGGACTCGGCCGAGGAGGAAGTGGGACAAGAACAGCAGTGGCTGGCAGTGCTGACAGTGCTGGCAGGTGGGTCTGTGTGGCGTTCCGCAATGAAGACAATGCCAAGGCCAATCAAAAGTGCAGCGGTCCCATGGTTGACCTTAAAACTGAACGATCAGAAGAACTTCTCATGAACTAAATCAATAGATCGAACGCAATACAACCAATAGATTGGAACATGCCCGCTCTTTAGAGAAAGGTGTTCCCCTCTTGAACAGAAATAATGCAAATAAATAAATGGGAATAACGTTAAATGCGGATACAATTAATATATTGTACCTCAAAACGTTGGTACACTTTTTGCAGATTTATATTTGACACGACGGACTATAACTGAAATAAAACATATATTGGCAATAGCTGCCAGATACTGGCAATACAAAAACGAGTTGAATTTCAAAGCGACACAAGCATTTATTTATTGATAAGTGAAGCAGTGTCAGCTGGCAACAAAATAATGGCAACAGTCCTGTCCGGAATCCATTGCAGTCTAAAACCATGAAGAGAGAAAAGGATAGTTGTAGAAATTAGAAGGATTGCCAGCGACCCCAACTTGCATTTTGTTTCCTAAATTGGCGCAATCTGCCTTCGGTACCGCCATTACCGTCCTTAGTGTATCAAAGGGGATGTATTACGAATAAACCTTGGACAAAAATCTGCCAGAAATGGATCATCAATCATCAATCAATCAATCAGTTACTGATGAAGAGAATACAAGTAGGTTCACTTACCTATTGGACTATCATTTATAAAAGAGTACACATTTGACTACCAGCCCAGCGCAATCCTCTCGCCCATATGGAGGTCGGTCCCGCCGCTCTATAGAGATATCTGTGGAGCATCAACACCAAATAAAACTAGAAAGCAACCCAATGGGATCCCAACGCACCATCTTACTAAAGATTTTTTGGAGAAACCAGAATTTGTGGAAAAAGGTCCAAACTAAACTTTCAAATTAAAATTTTGATGTGTTCAGCTCTCGAGCTGAACGAGAACTGAATATATATTTTTCGAGAGCAACTGGCCTAAATATAAGCGACGAATTTAATTTCAATGCTTGCTAGGTTTCCAAAAAAAGGTACAGATTTTCTCAAATACTCGTAAATGGGTGAAGAATCTGCACCTGAAGATTATTAGAAATACTTTGAGTGCTTGAGTCAATAATTTAGTCACTTTATATCTATATTCTATGTATGAAGACACCGAATTTATTTACACATTCAATTTAGAATAGAATCGAATACACAATGAACTTAGAAATACTCTATCGCAAGGACAACTCAGCGCCGATTTCCAAGGGGGTCTAAAATGAAGTCTAAATCAAAGCGACAGTCTTCCATGTGATTGATTGGCTTGCAGAAACCGTAAATGGAGGACCTGCTTTCCCTTCAATTGTGCGTCAATATGTAGTGTTCAGTCCGTTCCTTGAATGCTGCAGAAGGAGACGATATTAAGCCAATTCTTATGTTTCATTCGAACCATCTAGGTTTCTTGCTCATGAGGGGATCCTTGAGAGTGCATTCCCGTCTTAGCTCGGGCCTGTTTTTTCAATAACACCACGACACTTTTTCTGTAGAGAACATAGTAGCAAAGGATTGGAGAAATACAGGGGAAAGCAAACAAGGATACTTACACTTTTGTATAAAAATAAAAAATTGGTTTCTATAAAACGTTTGCTGATGTGTTCAGCTCGAGGGCTGGATGGAAACGGAAAATCTGTTTATTGTGAGCAACATTCTTATGCCTTGAGTTTCGATTTTCATTTCAATATTTGCATTGTTTTCCACTTTTTCGATGTTTGCTTATTTAATGTGCAAAAAGGCGAATGAAAACCATTTTTGTTGTTGTTTAATGAGCCTAAAATTGTAACTCTTAACTAGCCTGACTTGCTCAAATAAATTGAATCTGCATAGTGGAATATTTTCATTAAAGTGGTTTCCCTTCTGCAGGATTATTTCGATTGAGCATAAAAGAGTCGGATGTGACGGACCCCACAGAATCGTTCCCTGATTGTCTGGAATGTTCCCTTCCCTACTCTGAATTCGTTAATAAAAGAATGATTTCCGACTACCACACCACTTTTATTTGAACATTTCAGTCCAGCAATAGCGGCACTTGAGGAATCAAAACCAAAAATATGTGTAATCAGCAACAGTCTCTGATGTGACCGCCAGTGGATCGCAATCCTCAGGATCCAGAGAGAGAGGTCGGTACCGTCTCATCTGGCGGGATATCCATATCAGTTAAGCGAACTACAGCCGATAGACGATTGAAAATTAGGCTCTGATCGTTTGGGTAGTCGAAATGTTTTCTTACCGAACAGGGAGACCGTCGTATTATTATTTTCATCGCAATTGTCCAGAGTCTAATAATTGTAAGCCACTATGTAGGGCAAAGGACCTTCCTTGCACCCTTTTGTGTGGCAATGAAGGAGAATTTTAATCGATTGCGGAGATGGTTTCTTACCAAAGAAGAAGGACAAACGAGCAACAGAGTCCTCATCGAGTACAAGCACCATGTACCATGTACATACATATATCGTATGATTCCAATATGTTTATGATTTCTAAAAAATTATTTTAACCATCACAGCATTATCGGATGCTGGAATGGCCAGTGAAAGGGAAATGGAAGTCAGTTGAACGGGAATTAGGACATGAATTTACTTTTTTCACAAACAATTTTTAATTGCAAATTTTTTTGTGCACAAATTTTGATGGAAAACATGTTTCCGATATGCTTACAAGTAGTACGAGAGTCGAACGAGAAATGAAAATACGTTTGTCGAGAATGCTTGACAAAACTATAAAGAACTGAATTGAACTGCAAAGGTTGCTTGGTTTTGGTTGAGGGGCTCTGTGTTGAGATATATTGTAAATTTCTGCTGAATGCACTGCCAACGTGAAGTGTTCCTGAAGCTGGTGATTCAGAGAGTGCCTGTGGTTCCTTCGGCTTCATGCACAAGGCCTGTTCACCTTGCATAGCAGGCGATCCAGAATAAGAGTAAATGGAACGCTGGAAATATGGTTGCAATTTGTAAATTCCTCTGGTACTCTATACAGAAATCGGTCAGCAGATTACCAAAGAAACTGGAGTGGAGTTGTTTGGAAATCAGATCTCTGAGCCGCTCGTAAGACGCTGTACTCGTCGTGCTTGGAATCAGCAGAGTGGGGCAAAACTGTGGGTAGTCTGTGCGAACTGGCAGCCTTGGCTGTTGGCCATTTGATGCACAGGGCGGCCAGATGGGCTTGAGTCCTTTCAACCGCCGGCCTCGAAAACTTAACCAAGCCGAGCGGAGCTCAAAAACATTCCGCACCATTCCAGGCATAGTCTGACACAAAGATAATGCTGCTGATAACAAAAAAGATTCTGAATTGCAGGAACTCACACACACACACACACACACACACACACACACACACACACACACTCACTCGCTAAGAGAGAGGGAGAGTGATAGAAAAATGAGGAGGTGGTGCTGTGGGGAGGACAATGGGACAGAAGGACAGGCTGGCACGTACGCAGGCATGTGAATGTGGAAGCTGAATGTGGAAGTGAATGTGAATGTGGGCGCGTCAGTATGCTTTTGGCTTTGGCGCGTGCATGGTGAGGGGCTGATGGGCTGAGGGGGAGGTGTGGGTGTGGCTTTTGGATGCGATGCGATATTCACAAACGCATGTGTGCGGGCCTCATGGATGTGACAAAAGCAGCTGCCTTTTGTTTAGTCAGCGCGGCCTTCACTTTGTGTGCGTTTGTCTATGCGTGTGTGTGTGTGTGTGTATGTGTGTGTGTGTGCCTGTGTGAGCTCAAGCATTCAAATAATTAAACTCATCAAGTTCTCTTTTTCATGCAGACGCCTCCTTCCACCGCCCCTGGCCCTGCCTGCACAGCCGTTTAGTCTAATCTTCTTTGTTTTCTTTTTATTACAGCGCCAACTTGAGTCCTTCGTTCCTCCTCGAGTCCTCGAGTCCTCGAGTCGTTCAGTCGTCGAGTCGTCGAGTCGAGGCCATGCCGCTGGCTCCGAACCCAAGCCAAACCGAGCATCTGTCGCCCGTTAGGCCTGCGACCACATCAACAGGCACATGCACACACACACACACACACCCACACAGACACACACACACACATCTACAACTACGACTACGCATTATCCTTGATCTTTTGTTAGTTGTTTGCTCAACTTCTGCTTGTTTGTTTGTCAGCAACAGTCCCACACATTAACCCCTTCCCTCCAACTCTCCTTCTCGCCCCCTCTGTCTCTCTCTCCCTCTCTCTCTCTCTCTCTCTCTCTCTAGCCAATGTAAGCTTCAATTTCTGTAAATCATTAATTAAAAAACAGTGAGCCCTCACACATCATTTCTTACGTAAGCTCTGCACATCAGGAGTTCAAAGAACGCAAAATACGTTTCCACACTATTTTCTACTTTTTTCCCACTTGGGCTCGAATTTCCCAAAGCTTTCCCTCAATAAATGTTTTGCACACAACCGAGAATCGGCCCCAAATTTTCTCCATTTGAGGGCGAAAAGGAATCCTTACTTAATTAATTGTTCCCAATTGTTCCCAATGAAGGATAGCTGACAGTTTGTTGAGGAACTAATTTCCCAAGCTCAGAATTCAATTGCTGAGTCAAATGATTTGGGAAATTGTAAATTGTTAATTGCAAAAAGTTGCTTACATTCCAAATATTTGTAAAAAATTGTAAAAGGTTGCTTACATTCCACATACTACAAGTACTTATATTTTTATGCCTAATAATTGTTAAGCATTTGCGATTGTAATTGAGGAAAGTATGTATTTTATTATTTTAGGACCAAAACAAGACAACATCTGCGTTGAATTGTTAAGAATTGTTTTAATTGGCCAACTATGCCTGTGGCGATAGTATATAAGTTGTAAAAAGACGTGGAAACTAAAGTTCTTTCATTTCATTTCAGACTTCAATTCTGCTCTCCCGGTAGTTCAAGAAGTGAATCGCGTTTTGTGCATTCGCTCAAGTATTCACTGTACCAACCAAATGTGTAAGTCGTCAGCTATGCATGCAAAAGATTTGTAAAGCATGCCGGACCTGAATCCTGGAGCCTGGAGCCTGGAACTTGAAGCAACCGCCACAGCTTGTCATCAAAATCATCGTCACGCCCGGGAGCGGCTGCCTTTGTTGTACTTTCTGGTAACTTTTGTGAGTTCATTGTCAACTGTAACTAGTTAATAATGTGGCCAGCACTCGCCCGTCTGTGTGAGTGTACTCCTATGTGTGTGTGTGTGTGTGTGTGGATGTGTGGGGGCATGCTTGCGAGTGTGTGCGTGTGCGTGTGTGTGTTTGCTCTTGGCTTTGCATCTTTTTGATGTTTCATTGCCGCATCAAAGGCATCGCTTGCATAGTTCAAATGACAGGCCATGCTTGCGTCTTTTTCTTTTGATAGCCCAAGTCCCCAGCTCCCAGCCCCTGCCCCTGCCCCTGTCCCTCTCTGACCCATTTGCCGCTGGCAACCACAACAGCTGTCCCCTACTCCCAGGCCACCACACATGGAATTCGTTGGTCCCCGGCATGCCAAGGCAAAGTGCAGCTCAAGCTAATTGAACGAATGCTGAGAGCCCGAAAATTACAAACACGCTACTATTGTCGTTGGGGCATAACTCTTGGCCATAACTCATGACATCTCCATCGGCCTGGGAGCGCGTGTGGAGAACTTAAGCATGCCTGCTTAAATCTGGTTAGCACTGAGTTGCCGGCGTGTGGCTACACTCGCAGAAAGCGTTTTGAAGTCTGCCCCGAGCCACACAGCCATACGAAAAGAAAACAATTGGATATTAATATTTTCTAAGATATGGGCAAGTGTGGTTGGGTCGGACGTAACGACAGACTCTTAAGTTCAAATGTCATCCAAATCCAACCTCTCTCAGTTCGGAGTGTCATGAACAGCCATCGAACTGGGTTGAGTTTTTATAGCCTGTACCCAAAGGGTGAAAGGCTATACTAGTTTTGTGCGCATGTATGTACCACACAGAAGGAGGCGTGGCAGACCCCACAAAGTATATATATATTCTTGATCAGGATGAGAAGCCGAGTCGATATAGCCTTGTCCGTCCGTCCGTCTGTCCGTCTGTCTGTCCGTCTGTCCGTATGAACGCAAGGATCTCAGAAAGTATAAGAGCTAGAATAACCAAACTTGGTTTCCATATTCTCCTAAGACCGAGAAAGTACGAGTTTGAGTTTTTTTTCGATGCACCCCCCCACTCCCCCGCAATTCGTGTTTTTTCTTATAACTTCCGTAATTCTCGGAATTTTGAAATGAAATTTTAGTAGGTACATCCAGTTAGTACTAATGTGTCCGTGTGCCAAATTTCATCATGATAGGTCAATTCTGAAGAAAGTTATAGCCATAAGTAAAATCGCTGCTCATGCTCTGCCTCTGTCGGCAGCGCTGCCCGCAGCTGTTGTTGTTGTTGCTGCTTTGGTTTAACTTTTTGCTGCATACATACACGCATATAAACACGCATAGGTACGTGATGTAAATGTATGCTGTTAAAACTAAACATAAACATATATTCTAATTTAATTTAATTAATTAATTCATTAATTTTTTTGAATAATTTAATTTTTTTTTTTAATTTTTTTTTTTTAATTTTTCTTTTTTTGTGGAGAGTACAGGCTATTTTACTGTCGGGCTTGCTCGACTGTAGCGTTCTATCTTGTTTTATATATACAAGTATGTTAATAGTTTTCAGGTAAACTCGTATATTGATACAGGAGTGGCTAGATTGATAGAAAGAAATTGACATTCTAGCCATATATTTATTAATTTATTTATTTTCATCGGCAACCAGTGCAGTCGATGTACATCAAAAAAATCAATACAATACAATAAAGCACTTAAACTGAGTAAAACTAAAGAAATAAAAGAGCCTATAAAAATGACAAAAATACTAATAACGAATCCGACACGGTGGGGGAATTTTATTTGCCAAACGGCCAGCTATGGCCCGATTCACAGCCAGGAGTAGTCAGATACGTTATTAGACCTAACAAAAAATAAGTGGAAATCTAAAAATATAGCAATAAAAGATGGAAGAAAACAAATTAAAATTAAAATACTTAAATAAAAAAATGTAAAATATAATTACAAATTAAAGGTGAAGAATCACTGACCCGTTGGGGGAAGCTATGCCCCTACTACATTCATGTTAATATTAGTAAGAAATATATCTCGAAATAACTTGATTGATTGCAGAATCGAAATACAACTGGAAAACCAAATACACCCATTAGGCTTAATTGAAGCCAAATTAGACATTTTTAAATAGAGACAAAAACTGATTAGTAAAATGGCCTTAATTAGTTATATTAGTCACTGCTAATATCAATATAGAATGTCAATATTTATAAAAACAAACAATGCACATACTTATTTATTGTCCAACTATTAAATACTCTGCCAAATCTTACAACACATATACACCTAATTCTGTTTTTACACGGTGTGAAAATTAATAATTTTATACATGTGTAACCACGACATTATTCCATTAAGCATGATTCAAAATAGAATAAATAAATAAATTTCGTACACGCACACACTTTTTCTGGAACCAATCTACCGTGTAAAAACAGAATTAGGTGTACTATATATACGTAGATATCAGATTTGATTCAGACAGCGACGCGTTTTGTGCTCAAAACTTCGACTAAAATGTGTTCAACAATGTTCATCCATTTATCGTCGTTTCTCTGGATATTTGATGTTGAAGGACGCTTCTCGAAAAATCTG